TCAGCAAGTTCAGCCACTTAAAAGAGACTGAGCTGAAAAGTAAAATCACTTAATAGAAAATGAGTTCTATTTAACTCAAACCAGGACAAAAGCTAATAAACTCTTATCTATCATCAGAAGAATCAGAAATCAAGTCAGAGATAGACTATTGCAATTTTAATGGTAACAGCTTTTCCAGTAAGGTGTCACAGCCTTGAAGATCATGATATTTTTCTATTTTTCCTTGCAAATTGCTGAAAAAAACAAATAGATCTTTAAAGTTACAGTATTAGTTTGGAAAGCATTTGTAACAAAAAAAATCCTAAGTGGGTGTAATTAATATTAGATTGTTGTGAATTTCCAGCAGCTTCCAAAAATATTTCTTTGTTTTGTGCTTTGTTACTCGGTCTGTAGCTTGGTGGTCAGCGTAGCCTCTTCAGAGTTTGGAAATGGTCTCATATTGACTTTTTTTTTTACACTGCTACATGTATTGTTTGTCTGCTTATGAAATTCTTACCAAGATCAGTTCCAGATGCAAGTTTATATTTTTCAGTTCTTTGCCTCACCAGTTGACACTTTGTAGCCTTTTTCTAGGTTTGTTGTATGAGATGCTGAACACCTGCAAATTATTTATATTATCAATTAAGTTTGGCCTTTTGAAATTGGAGTACATAGCTGCCACCTGCTATTTAGTATGTTAAAGTGATTTGGTTTTGTTTGCAAACAAATGCAAGAGTAAGCTTAAAACTGAATGTTTTGGGCAGAGACCTTTCATATGGAATTAGTTCTAAAATGTGAGTGAGAGGCTCTAAGACCACAAGCAGAAAATTGCATGCTAGTGCTCTTGTATGCTGTGTTACTGCAGAAGAGGAGATATGGGAATGGAGGATTTGGGCTTTTTTTTTGTCAAGGTGCTGAGTAAGATTTGTGAATTGTGAAAAGGAAATACTTTCTTTAATTTTCTGCTTGACTAATTGGGACTTTCTTAGAAAGTGCTTCAGCATTACCTGGTTCAAGTACAGATATTATCTCTCAGTAAGAACAAGGTTGTGACAAAGGATTAGGATGCTGTAACAAACAAAGGTAACTTTTCAAGCATTTGAAGCAGGAGTAACAGCTGAAGGGGATGACTTGTACAGCTCTTGGAATAATACATTACCATTTATTTTGTTTAATTTTGTTTTTCTTCTATTTGCTATTAAGCTTCTCGTTAGAATCCATTCTTTAACTAATGAAGACTTAATTCTATTCAGAGCTTTTTTTACCTTGAAACTGGAGTCTTACTTAAACTCAGTCTCTTGATTAACAAATTATCAGAGCCAAATGTTTAGAAGTATCAGTGACAGAAGCCATGCTTTTTATATGGAGCTTTGGGAAGTGGAGGGAGAAATGTTATTCTCCCTCATTTTTATGTGAAAAGTACCATCAAACATAAAGGCAATTCAAAAGATACTCTTAACTCCCTACCAAAAAAAAATAAAGTTGTTAAATATTGATGCTAGACAGTTTCAATATTACTACCAAATATTTACACTTTTTTCTTTTTTGTCTGTAACTCCCGAAGTATTTACAGAAGAGATGGGCTTTCTTATCTGCAGACACAGGTATCAGGAAGAGAAATCTTTTGTCCAAGGTCATCCTCCAGGCCAGCAGCAGAGCTTCAGTTTGGATCAAGTCTGCCAACTCCTAGTGCAGTGACTAACCAAAGTTTCCACCACCTTTTTGGCTGTAGTGATTGTAGTTTATGAAGCATCCCTAGGCTGCATACCACCACCACATCATGTTATTTTTCTACATCTCTACCTAGCTGCTAGCGTGCAGGATGAGTATGGCTGATTTTTGGCTGTTTGGTGCCCAACCTGTATGATATCTTCACTTGGGAAAAAACAAACCATAGGATAGCTGGAATGGTTAAACCATTCTGAACTAATCATTAGGCTAACTGCTTTTATTTAGTAAGATCTATTATAGTTGCCAAATTTATACTTAATAAAATCACTTCATAAAACTAAAATTTATATTTAAAAATTAGAGTAGCTGAGGTTGGAAGTAAACTCTGGAGAACTAGTCCAACTCCCCTGCTGAAAGCAAGGTCAGCTGGAGCAGAGTTGCTCTTGGCATTGTCCAGTCGAGTTTTGAATATCTCAAAGCAGAGAGACTTGATAAACATTCTAGGCAACCTGGTCTGGTGTTCGACAACACACCCAGGAGAAAAAAAAAAAGAATTTTTATTTTGTTTAAGTGGCATTTCTTGTATTTCAGTTTGTGTCCATTGCCTGTTTTCTGTCACTGGACGCTACTGAGAAGAGTCTATCATCCTTGCTTCCTTCCAGAAGATATTGGTACGCATTGGTAAGCTCCCCCCCCAAACCTTCTCCTCTGAGGCATTTTCAGCAAGGACCTCCAGATCTTTTACTGCAAAGCTGCATTTGAGTCAGACAGCGCCCAGCCTGTATGGATGCATGGGGTATCTGCGCCAGGCTGCATCTCCTGTCATGAATTCCTGTCTGCCCCTGAGTAGTAATGAATTTCTTATTAAATGCTTTTCTGTAGATTCAAAATCTTCAGCTGAGGCCCATTTTTCTTTACAGAATTTTGTCTACTGGTAGATGCTTCAAAAAAAATCTAGTACTCTAAATAAGAGCATCCATAGCTAACATTTTGATAAAATTCTGCTAATGAATCTAGAGAGTCTGATGAACTGCGACTTGCAGGGTTCTAGAAACTAAAGAACATTGTAGCTCATGCAGCACTTAGAAGAATTTATTAAACTGGACAATCCATGGGGCTTTTAAAATTATAAATCTGGATACCCCCCCTCTACAAATATTCTAATTTTAGGAAGGAATGAGGGATGTTGTGGAGATGTTGACAAGTATAAAAGATGAGTGTGGGTAAAGCACATGGCTTGCTTCCTCCTTTTGTTTGAAAGATAGTATATGGTCTTTGATGAATATCGTCTTGGGAAGGGAGAAAGATTTAATAAAAAAAAAAAGGACTGAAAACTTGTAGCAAAGAAAGGGTTCTGAAACTTTTTACTTCAGCTTCCCTTTTGGAAGCACCGCAGTGAGAGTCCTAACCAGTATTACTGAAGACTCAATGTTAAATATTAGGATTCTTTTCTAATAGCAGTTGTTACAGTTTTTCTGCTTAAGGTTCTCATGTCTTGCTATTATATGAATCGGGATAACCAGCGCATTGGGATGATTGATCAAAATTGCTCGGTCACCAGCTATTTTGAGTGAAACAGAGCTAAGCAAGAATGCTGAAACTGATTCTAACATATCTGACCTTTTGTGAACCATTAGATAAAATCTGTTTCATGGGTTCAGCTTTTCTCGGATGGTTACTCTGTGTAAGCTTGTGTTCAAGTCTTTAACTCTGCTTCTGAAAGGTTAGAAAAATATTACTTTTAAAGTTGCAATATTCATCCATAATATCTGAGTAAGTATAAATCAAAGATACAAAAGGGATGCGTTTGTGTGCTACCTTCTGGCTTTCATTTTCAAACTAAAGTTATTCTATGATTTGTGTAATGTAGTTGTATCTATTTGCTACATAATTGACCCTGCAAAAGAAATTACCATGTAATGTTGTTGCTGTATTCCGTATGTTTGGTGATAAATTAAACAGAACTGCCCCTTCTTGAATTTATGGTTGGGCATTTTGTTTCAGATAAGAGAATTAGGTACTGAAAATATTGTGGTCATTTTACATGTGGTCATACTTTACGAATAAGTAAAATTTATTTTTTTAAGGAGCAAGTAATCTGATCCACTTGTCTTGCACATAATGTATAGCCCATAAAAGTTAGATGCTGTCCTGTAACTGTAAAATAAATCCAGCAGAGCTGCTTATTTGTAGAAAAAGCAGACTTCTGTTTCAACTGAAAACAGAATCACAGGATGGTTTGGGTTGGAAGGCACCTTAAAGATAATCCAATTCCAACCCCCCTGCCGTGGGCAGGGACACCTCCCACTAGACCAGGCCTACTTGAATCCTTGTCCAACCTGGCCTTGAACACTTCCAAGGAGTGGGCATCCACAGCTTCCCTGGGCAACCTGTGCCAGTGTCTCACCGCCCTCACAGTAAAGAATATCTTCCTAGTATCTAGACTAAATCTACCCTCTTCCAGTTTAAAACCATTACGTCTTGTCCTATCACTACCTGCCCTTGTAGAAAGTCCCTCCCCAGCTTTCTTGTGGGCCCCCTTCAGGAACTGGAAGGCTGCTATAAGGTCTTCCCGGAGCCTTCAGCCTTCAGGCTGAACAAACTCAACACTTTTAGTCTGTCTTCACAGAAGAGGTGCTACAGCCCTCTGATCATCTTCATGGCTCTTCTCTGGAGTCACTCCAGCAGCTTATGTTGGGGGCCACAGAGTTGGACACAGTATGCCAAGTGCGGTCTCACCAGAGCAGAGTAGACGGGCAGAATCACCTCCCCTCGCCCTGCTGGCCACACTTCTTTTGATGCGGCCCGAGATGTGTTTGGCTTTCTGGGCTGCAGGTGAACATTGCCAGCTCATGTTGAGCTTTCATCAGCTGACACCCCCAAGTCCTTTTCCTCAGGGCTGCTCTCAAGCCATTCTCCAACCAGCCTGTATTTGTGCTTGGGACTACCTTGAATCATGCAGGACCTTGCACTTGGGCTTGTTGAGCTTCATGAGATTCGCATGGGCCCACCTCCCCAGCCTGTCAGGATCTCTCTGGATGACATCCCTTCCTTCTGGCACGTTGACCATGACTGTGTGTGTTCAAACATGAATAGCACTGAACTGAGAGTAGCTGATGCTCTATTCCCCTGTCTCTTGTCAACAGAATATGCTTGGGCATTCTTCCAGAAAATTCTGAGAAAAACCTGCTAAAAGAGGAAAACCAGACCTATGAAAGCTGTACTTTGTGTCTGTGATACTTTTTCATGTGTGTAGGCTTTACTCTTCCATAGTGCATTTACATTCTAATAGCATGTAAAGGACTTTCATGAGAGCGAGTTTGCTAAGCAAGGAATTGTACAAATCAATAATGAAGTCCCTTCTTTAAGCAGTTCGTAGTCTAAAGTGGGAAAGACGTGACAAATTTGTCATGTGCTTGTTTTGTAACAGCTGGATTGTGTGGGCAAATGGAAGGGATCTTCTAGGCAGATTTTCTAGATGATGTGCTGTCTTCAGTCAGGCATTTCTTGTCTTTATTATTTTGTTTTTCATTTTGATATGGTTTGTCACTATTTGTGTAGAAACCCACTATAAATTTAAAATACTTAAAATAGAAGTTTTGAAATAGAATTTCATTCTCAAGTCAGTTATTAAAAAAAATCAAGCCCCTAACTTAGGTTTTCGCCGAAGCTTTTTAGAAATTTTTGGGCATTTCTGTCCTACCATATTTTGGGGTTTAGGCCAGAAATTCCAGGAATTCATAGTACGTGTCTGTGGTACTTACTGTATGCATTTTGTTATCCATTTTTATCAATCCATATAGTATTGTATCAAAATACTTAAAATGAGTAATTGCCAGGCCATTACTGCAAAATCTTATTCCTTGGGAATTGGGGGCCTTACAAAGGCAAGAGAAAAACAGTTTGACTCTTGCACAGTTTGTTTTCACACTCTGTAGGTGGTATGCTGTTGTTCTGAGAAATAGCTGTTTCTTTCCCTGGCTGCATAGAGAGGGAAACAAAATTTTAGGAGTCAGCCTGTGTCTAGAAAGACATAGGACATTCTACTTACAGCACATGGAAATAATGAAGCATGTGAAGTAATATCTGGGAAGATGATACAGATTGTAGTGCATCACTTCTTGTAGTTGGTGGGATCATATAAATTGCAGTGAAAATATCTTTAAAAAGTGAGTTAGGAGTTTGGTGGCCCTATTATGCTGAGTTTTGATGAGTCTTGGGTACCAAGAAAATTCCAGAAGAATATGAACCCTGACTGTAACACTTTTCCAGTTGTATCTCCCTAGCCTAGTTAGAACTCAGCCTCATTTTTGGTATACAGTGGAAAAACTCACCGTAGATTTGACCAAAAATTGAGAGAGGAATATAGCTGATAGTTGTGTTTTTGTGGAACATAAGTGATCAAACAATATTATTTTCTGAGATTAAACAATCTGTTGGCTTTTACCAACCAAAATTACATGGTTCTACTTAAACATTAACCTCTAACTAATATACTGTGCATTATATTAGTGCATGTTAAAGGGATTCAGTATTGGTTAACAGTTGTTGCAGCGATCAGCAGGTAGACCCAATATAATTCCTTTTTTAATATATAATTATTTTTTAAGTTTTTATGTCTTTTTTAATTTAACGCTTTGTAAATCGCTGCTGCAGAAGTCACTGGAAATAAAAGTTACAGATGACACTAAGAACTGTGGTGGTAAACTACTGTGAAGACAGGGCACTCCTCAGCAAGTCTGAATAACATAAATTGAGATGTGTTCAAACGAGGTTAACTTTACAGATTAGTTTTATGTGGATAGATACACAGGACAGGAATGCTACAGGAAGAGCTGTGGGCTGGAGTGTGTACTCCCAGAAGAGGATGTGTAGGTGAAATGGGTAAGACTGTGTAAGATTCTTACCTGATACTGTGTCCAAAAGGCTGTTACAGTGACCTGAAATGGCACTGAAAATGGGAGTCATAAAATTGTAAATTGTGTACAGCTTTGTGTACGTTTTTAATGCTGTATGTACTTCTGGTGTCTACATTTGAAGGAATTTAAACAATGAAGAATGTGTGGAGAAAATGAGATTTAAAGAACTACAATAAAAAGATTGTTAAAAGGGTTGTTAAAGATGACAAGTGGTTTTACGAGAAAGTACTGACTGCTGAAGCACTCTTTAATTTGGTGAAGAAAAGTAGAAAAAAAACAAAGCTGAAAGTCGGAAATTCACCTTGGAAATGAGGCAAACATGTTACAGAGTGATTAACCAGTGGAACAAGCTACCAGAGAAGGTGATGATTTTCCATCTCTTGAAGGCTTTCAAATCAAGAATAGATCATTTTCTGGAACTTGGGCTTTAGCCAAATACAAGTTTACCATAAAGGAGTTGAGGAACTGTGGGCTTGTACAACTCTTTGTGTCTTTGGCATGAAGCTCGTGTGTGCTGCAGGTACTGTTAACAGTGAAAGATCTCCAAGGCCAAGGTCATGAGGCACGTGTCCAGAGTGGTATGTGCCTAGTGATGAAGAGTCTTCAAGAGCTCTGATTATTGGTAAGCAGAGTCTCTCTCTTGAGCTTGGTACAGTGTAACTAAGGAAAGTTTAATAGACTGGGGTATAGAAAGTCAGAATAGATGATCCTAAACTTTACTGTGGATCTATAAGCTTCATTTCCAGTTTCCCTATACTATTCTGTGCCAAAGGCTTAAGTGGAAATTAATCCTGCTGTTGGCTGCATTAGCTTCCATCGACGTAGCTGTGGTCATAGAGGACAGATGTGCTATACAGCGATCATCTGCCCTACTTGGTAGTTTTTTCCACTTTTTAAAATTTCAAGTGCCTGCTGATGTTGTCCTTCCACCTCAATGCCAATGTCAGTGTCTTGACACTGACAGATGACTGACAATGTCAGTGTTGTGATCTCCATCTCAGTTTGTTGGTTGTGTTTAAAGTCTTTTAAAGGCTTGAAAGTCATTTGAGGACTTTAAATTGCTTTAAACCTTAGAGTCTTCTGTCTTTTTAGCTGGTTTCCATGACTGGTAAGTATTTGCTAGCAGTTCTGTGGGACTGCAGGTAGAGAAGCAAGTGTGTGTTAATGGTTTACATGTTAAGACAGTACTATAGAAGGTAAATAAATAAAAAGGTGTGGAAAAATGTTTTCAAGCAAGTCAGCAAAAAGACTCTTAGGAATTGTAAAAAAATTTACTGGTACCTTTTACCTATCCTCATACTAATAATAATAATTCTGATTTTTCTGGGTTATAATGTATCCTAATGTTCTCTGTTTTGATGGGGACAGCTTGGGCTGCCTTGCAAGAAAGTTCCTTCTTTAGAACAGAAATAAACTAAAAGCATCACGAATGTTTATGCTTACTAAAATATTTTTATTTTCAACATAGAATGACCACTTTTAGTTTTTGCCTTTTAGAAAAATCAGTTCGTACAGAACAGAGCAAAAATAAATACATCTGTTCTGCATTTGGTTTTAATTTACTTTTTTAGCAGAGATCATGCATCAACTTCAATCTCTTAACAGCAAAAAACCAATCAAACGTGAAGACAGGCTGTGAGACAACTTGGAGTAGTGGGGGTGTATGAAGTACCCTTTGTTCAACATCTTACAGTTCCTTCTGTTATTTCTTACTTCAGTAGAGCTTGATACATCACTTCTGAATCATGTCACGTTCTTCATTTAGGCAAGAGTGCTGTGTGATGAAATGGTTTGTCACAACCCTTCCTTTCTTAGTTAAAAATAATGTAGAAATCTCTTGTGCTTCAGCTTCTATAAATGTCAGATAACCCTGTGACTCCACTCATACAGTGGTACTATGAGGAAGCTTCTATGAGCCAAGAAGCTTTTGCAGCTCTCTAGCATCATCTCCACACTCTCATCTGTCATTTGCCTCATGGTGGGGGAAAAGGTGACTTCAGCAGAGGGTTCATGGTGGGTCATTGGTATAAATATTACTCTTAAAAGAGAGAAAGTGCTTTCAGTGCTCATCTGAGCAGTCCAGCAGTCTTGCTGAGTGCATTAAGTGTACTTTGTGAATAAAACACTGCTAAGTTTCTTAGAGGGCAGACCTCAGAATGGATGGTTCAAATGACAAAATAGATGCTATCAGAATAAATGTTACTGACAGGGCTTTATAAATTGTTTCATGTCCTTCTGTTTGCATGGCTAATAGAGCTGGTTTTTGGTTTTTTTTAAAATATATTACTGTACAGTCAAAAAGAGGAAGTGTTTTCATGTGTTAATGAAAGACTGGAAAACTAATATCTGAAGTGATCATAATAAACATCTTGAAATCTAATATGTTTAAGAAGTACTTTCACTAACTTCCCTTATATTTTTTGACTCACAGCTAAAAATCACAGCACTTAAGATGTAGGCATCCATTTCAAACTTCAGATTTCTACTTGGAAAATAGTAACTAGAACTTTACATTATTAAATTCAGCTCTCTTACCAGTTGTGGTTGCTCCTCAGTGTTAACATCTTGCTATAAGATGAAGTTGTTATTACTGTTCATTGTTCTGATGACTTAAAAAGTTAATTGCCAGCAGGTAGCAGTTTATAAGTGAATTACAGTAACACCTTTCATATATTTCATATCTTGCACTCTCTGTAATGGAAAATTATTTTGGATTGGGATCTATATGCTTAAGCTAATTATTTTTTTTTCTGAGAATGTCCTTTGAACCAATTTCATTGTTGTTTGGAAATGGTATTTAGCAAAATTCATTTTGATAGGGAGACATTTCTTTCAGAAAACTATTAAGAGTTTGCAGCCTTGAGGAATTGGTTCCATGTTCAGAATAGTAATGCTAAATTTTCAATTGTAGTTGTTTCTTGTAGAGTAAATTTAAAAATGACACTGTCTGTGTTAGACTTGGTAGTCACTGTGAAATCCCTTTAAAAATTTGGGTCATCGTTCTTTGTGTTAGTACTTAAATTCTTGAACTTGGATTTATCCATGTGTTTTCCATTTCTTACCCTTCACCAGCCTCTGAAATCTTCACCTGTATTTTTCTAAGTTATTTCTTTAACTAGCACAATTGAAGGTATGTAAGCCAGTTTCTCTGAATTAAAAAAAAGAAAGAATTTGTTAATCATTCATACATGTGAGGGCACTAAGGAGAGGGAAACAGAAAACAAATTTTTAGAAGAAGCCCCTGCTGGTTCTAATATATCGGTGTTGACTGTCTTTAGATGATGGCTATGATAATATTCCAGAAGTCTCAATAAACAAAATAATTCAGTAAAACACTTGTATTGCATTTAACTTCTTGTGTAACTGGTATCTTTCCATAGAATGACAGAGCTGTGAATCTGTGTATTAGTCCGAATTTATAATAAAACATTTTAATTGTTATTCTTTGCCTTTCTTCCTAGAATATTTTCTTTCTTGGACATAGTTACTTTGTGTCGATGTGCACAAGTTTCCAAGGTATGTATATATGCTGGGGTTCCTTGTTTTCCTTTGGGAAGCTATTCTTTTTAATTACTTGCAAATTGTGGACTTCAGGGCAATCTGCTTCCTGTCAAATAAACCAGATAGTTCTCTCTGCCTCTTTGATTAGTAAAACAAATAAACAGTGGGTCCCGTTTTGCATTCAGATGTGGAATTAGTTGCTATGTACTGCACTTCTATTTAAAGGCTATGGAAAAGATATCCAAGAGTGTATACTCCATATCTGGAGAAAGGATTAAGCCCAGTTTGGCATAATGGCATTTGCTTTTTATAAAGCAGGCGGCTGTATAACACTATTTTTCAGATGCATTTTCTGCTTAAAATTCCGTGTAGTTGGGTTAATGTGCACCATGTGTCTTAAGAAGTGCACCATGTGTCTAAGAAGTACACCCATCGTTTGCTTGCCAAGTACAAAAGGTGTCAAGTAGATGGACTACTCATAGAGGGAAAAGGCACACAGAAGATTAAATAGAGAAAGCATGCTAAGTAAGCTTTTATGTTTAGCTCATCTTGAGGTTTTTTCTTGAATTAAAATGAAAAATACTCTGTGCCTACATCAGGTGTGTACAATCAAGTGTATTCTTATACAACATGAAGGAACTTTTATAATTTCATGCTTCTCTTCCTTCTTTTTATGAGGACTGAGTTTGGTTTGGTTTTCTGTTATTGTTGGATTTTTGTTTGCTTTATTTAATGAATAATTATGTGTGTAACAATTTCATGCCTACACCATTATCACCCTGGCTTGCAATTTCAGTAAGTTTTGTGACATAATACCAGGTTTTGTTAGAACCTTCATCTAAAGCCTAGAATACAGTGGAATAAAACCAACGTGATTAAGTTGTGTTTTTCTGTCAGAACTACCTGTCAGTTGGACACAGTATGCTTTTTTCCATTTTTTTTTTCCCCTGAGTATATTTGTGTTTCTCTAGCTTTCTTACTTTGTTCGACTTTGAACAACTATTGCTTTGACAGTGAAAGACAACTTCTCAAACTCATGCATGTAACTTAGCACGTGTAAAGGAAAGGACGGATCCTAGCAGTGGAAAGTCAGCAGTTTTCTGAAAGGTTTCTGTTCCTCTCAGAATAGTAACTACTTTTGAGGAACTGTGGTTTTATTGGAAGGAATCTCATCTGCAGCTACTTTTCTCCATATACATCTAGCAAAAGTAACTTACTAGACAAATGTACAAAAGCTTTTTTAAAACTGGGAAGTTAAATCTTATTGTGTCCACATGTGTACGTTACATTTAATTTCTTGCTTTCCTGCATGTTTTATGGGCATAAGTTAGTCATTGAAGTGTAATCCATGTAAGAGATTTGAGACTCACTTCCACAAATTCTGTTTTTAACTAGTTAATATTGTATGACCACTTCTCTCTACAAATATATTTCTTTTTAAAAAAATGCTATCTGGAATTGTACATTGTGTTATGTTTGAGTTTGTTATATTTGAAATGCTGAGAGGCAAATGAAGGGAGCAAGCAGTGGAGGTAATAAATAAACTGTATTTGTTTTCTCTAGGCATGGAATGTTTTAGCTCTGGATGGAAGCAATTGGCAAAGAATAGACCTCTTTAATTTTCAAACGGATATAGAGGTTAGTGTCTGGGGTTTTTTTCATTACTATGGTGACACATTTTAAAGGCTAAATTTCAGTATAGTAATACTGTGAAGGAACAAATGGAAAAGAACTGTGTTTGCCTTTTTTTACACCGGATGAGTATTTCAATTTCTGGGGCTAGCTATGTATCAGATAATTTGCATATATCATATACATACAGGGCTCTAGAGATTCAAAGTTTCTCATTTCCAGAAAGTAAAGATATGAATGGCACCTCTGGACAGAGGGAGATCCTCAGAATCACTTTTAGTATCTAGAGGTAATTTTGTTGCTGGTCCTGAGTCCCTCTGTGAGGGTGCCATCTAGTGCTCAAAGTTCCCAGGTGCTCAGCTATAGGACTTGGAGATTGAAACAATAAAGTGCTGAACAACTTCTCTTACCTCTGTTTTGCCTAGGTTTCATTTGGTGTGTATCTGATTGCCATTTTATGAACATTTGTTTTATAAGGTTTGAACCTTGCCTGGAATGCAGGTGCATGCTGGTTAAAGTCCTTTTCAGCATGTAACGAAAGGATTAAGGCAGCCTTGTCTTCCATAAGAAAAACATGTCTGCATTAATACTATCATAGGTGGGCATAACAAAATAAAATATGACATCTGCAAATGAAGACAAAAAACCCATGGGGAAATATGATTCCTTAATTGAATCTGAACTGGTTTATTATTTGTTGTTTGATGATACAAATTAAATTTAGAATGCAATAATGAATTTACTTCTGGATTTTATGTTTTAGCTTCTTAGTTGCATGACTAAAATCCAGATGGCTTTCATTTAGTATATTTACTAACTGTGGTTCAAACTGTTCCTAAAGCTTTACTATAATATATAGGGTAAGGTTTTTTTCACCTCTCTTTTAAAATTTTATTGCCAACTCCTCTACTATACTGATGTTAAACATGGAGATATTACAGAGGTAGGAAGAAGCTTTTTGGTATCTGCCTCTATCTAAATATGTCTAAGAAGACTTGGACCTTTGCTATAATCTTTACAGTTGCCTTTTAAAAAGCTTGTTTTTCTCATTTGCTGAGAAATAATAAAGAAAACCCCACAGGCTTGTGGTCCTCTTGGCAGCCTTTTCTGTGTCTGAAACCTTTTTGCTATTTAGAAACACAGCACTGGATTTTTGTGTTTGATATGTTTGTCTTATGTGGTACCTAGTGGTGTCGCCCTTTGAGACGCTATGTTTGTAACATAGGATCCAGGAGAAGGAACGAAATTAAGTTATAATCCTCTCCTGTTATAAGAAGCTATTGTGGCTTGGAACAATTCAGTTACTTCAGTATATTATATTTAAGTACATTTGTAGTACATACTCCTTAAATGTATTCATAAGAGTATGTTAAACCAGCAATTATGACAAAAATAGTTTTGAACGAGGTACACTTTCACATTTGGTGTCTAAGAACTCTTTTTTTTTTTCTTCAGCTGTTTTAGTAACATTTTTCTGCCTATAGATTTAAGACAAGTAAAAGCTGCTAATTGTATCTGGCAACTTTTTGCTCACTTGGACATTGTACTCTTTGGTGATGTTTCACATAGCATCAAGCAGTACTTGATCTGAGATTGTCAGATAATGAAGACTTAGGTTTTCTGATTTTTTTCTGTATTTAAGACCTTATGTGGCAAAGTGAGAAATAATTTAAAAAAAAAACTATAAAGATAATGTTTCTAATCTATCACAAAGATATGTGAAGAGTTAAACGTGCCTTAGATTTTCTCAGTATGTGGGAACCAAATGTAAGCTGCGGTAATTTGAAGAACTTGTTTTTTGGGTGACATTGAATTATTCAAACAGCTAAACACATTTGAATGCGCTTAAGTTGTCTTTTTGAATATGCAGTTTGTGGGTTTTTTTGCATGCTTAAAGAAATAAATAGGTTTGGGAAAACTTACCTCATTATTTGTTTCTATTTCCTTTGAATAATGCATTAGGGTTTGGTTTTTTCCTGCAGAGTAGAACTTGCATTATGTGTTATTCATTGAAGACTTTATCCTTACAGTAAAGGTGTTTGGCCTGATTCTGACTAATTGGAAAGCTTTAAAAAATAAATAATTTTGTTTGTGTAACGACTTTCAGTTTATTTGTTTGTTTTTGTGTAAATTCTTCAGAGAGGTAAGATAAACAATGTTACTTATGGACTAAGAAACAAGCTCTGATAAGAAAATATTAACAGGTTAGTGCTAGCCAAGACTTTGGTGTTAGAGGTGAACAACAAAATGTAAGAAAAATTTTACTGTTTGAGTAGAAGTGTTACCATTTCACATAGGAAAATGAACCAAAAAAAATCCACGGATGTGTAACTTTGTAAGTATTTCTTCTTTGAAAAAAGACAGAGAGAAGACAATAAAAGATGCTTTTATGTATTAGTCCTGTTAGTTAAATGATCAGTGTTTGATTTCTTTTACCTTACCTCCCTAAAATTAGACACAATGTGGTGTCTAGCCGCTTTTTGCAGTGACCACTTGCTTTTTGCTATCTTATGACATTTTTCCTACAAAAAAAAGGTATATTTTTATTATCATTTAAATAATACCTTTCCATAATGCCATTTTCAAAATGAATATTAGAAGTACAGTGCCATTCTGCTTACTCCTAATGTACAGCAAAATACGCTTTCAGGATGTAAATAAAAAGCATTTTGTAGCGGGTCAATTGAGAAGTTTTGTTTGTAAACTATGCTTCTGCTTTTGACAAATAATGAGGCATAAAGTCTGTAAGCTTCACAGGATGAGAAATTCTGGTGTGCCCAAGTGTTAGGCGCGCGCACACACAAATATATGCATAGATATGTATATGACGTTGAAGAGTGGTAGGTGGGCTCTGGAAAAATCTTCTGGAGGCAACTGAAGTGGCTGCTCCCACCAAGGTATTGCAGCACCAGCTGTAACCATCCTTATAGCAGGGACTGTAAAACAGGATTTATCAGAGGCTTTTAAACTTACGTGCTGTAGTAGGAACTGTGATCCTTGAGGAACAGGCATGGCTCCCACTCTGCCTCTGGGGCACTTCTTCAGGTTTCCCACACATCTGACAAGACCCGAAGATCATTTTAGCATTCTTAATGGGTAGGTTTTGCTGAGACACAAAATTGAGCCTTGTGTGATAGACTGAAAAAAAGAAAGAGGAATCTAAAGGTTGAATTGAACAGCACTTCAGTGTGAGGGGAGAGTCTCAGATGGTAAATGTTTTTCCTTTAAAGCAGCGAAAGAAATTCAGAGAGGTGTGGTTCTGGTGGGGTATAGCTGGGGCTGGTCTTTACTCCTGTCATTTCTAATTTGATTAGAATGTTATGTCAGAATAAAACTCAACAAAATCTTCCTTTTATTTGATTTAAGGGTCGTGTTGTGGAAAATATATCGAAAAGGTGTGGTGGGTTCCTGAGACAACTTAGTCTGAGAGGCTGTCTTGGTGTTGGAGACTCCTCTTTAAAGTAAGTAAAGTCCTAGATTAAGACATCACTTATTGATGTCTGGACCAAAAGCAATTATTGTTACATTGTTTGGATTTCTGAGTACTGACTAATGATGAAAACAGGATACTTAAGTAAGGACTAAGTACCTTAGTAATGACTAAATGGAGTGTCAGTTTGAGATCAAAGTAGAGCTATGGTTATTTTCTGGAAATGAGCTAAGAAATGAGAACTCTGCTTTTTGTAATGTCTCTTTCATTAGTATTATATTGATAGCTCTCTATTTTCAAGCAGTTAAAATGTTTTCAGACCTGTGCTCTGGCGTCCTGCAATGTTAATTTAATCAAGATTGGTAGTCAGTCAGTTCATAGTTCATCTTTTAGTCTGGGCAAGAGGTGACCCTAGCAATGGGAGAAAGAAAAAAGACTGATGTGATTGAGTGCCTACAAAATTGTGAAAGGCTTGGGATTCTCTTCTTGTTCTAATATAAGAACAGATGAGCAGTAGGAGCATCTTGGGAGTCTCTCAGTAAAGACAGTGTATACTGTAAGTATACATAGTGTATAAATTGAACTGCGCAATTTGTTCCCAGAAGATTGACTCCATATAAGCTTTTGCTGTATGCAGACTGTTTAGCCAGATTCCTCTGTGGATACTTCTCTGAGTATTTAAACCCAAAGATCCTACCTCCAGCTGAAGGGTCCCTAAGCTACAAGTACTTCAGGGCTCAAAGAGTATTTGAAGGAAGGCTTGGGGTATGGCTTTTTGCAGTTGTGCTTTCTTCCGCTGTCACAGGAGACTGTCCTTGATGGCGTTCAGTCTGACATGATGTGCCTGTTCTTAGGTGGGATGTTTTTTAAGCAGCGGGTGTTACATCAGTGTCTTGTGACCTTTAGCTCTTTCTAAAATTTATAAGTAAATGTAACTCACTGATTTTTGTCTGTAAATTAATTCAGCAATTAGTTAAGCAATAGATTACTTTAGTAACCTAGATGGCATCCTAGCTTCAGACTCTAACATTTCCCCAGAGCTCTTCTTGCCTCTAGGACATCTCCTTAACTGCTCCCTGCTGTGTTGCTACCTTCAGGCAGTCCTGTCTGCTCAGGAAAAAGTGCAAATTATTACCATGTCCCAGAATACTGGCAATTGCTGTCAAAAAAGCGGTAGCTCCAACCAGAGTGAACTCTCTGCAGTGCTCCTCTGAGTTCCCAGAGCATTCACACAGGTGGAGTGGAGGAGAAGGGGAGGAAGACAGGCTCAGAGAGAGGTAGCAAATAATATGGGGAAGTTGTAAGGGGGAAGGCAATGACAAGGGTGTAGAAAGAAAGAGTCAGGGCAGTAGGTAACAGGTTTTTCCCCCTGGAAAGTCCATTTCATTTTTGGTTTATGTTCCCAGCTGTGCTTTTCAGGACACTGAGGCTAGAGGACTGCAGTGAGGGTTATGAATAGGATCAAGAATTGTAAGTGGGTTCAGGTATGTTAGTGGCATGTAAGAAAAGGAGTAGGGCTGGAGATGGGATATTTTTAAATATTGATATATTTAGTAGACAGATACTTATTGTGAGTATACAGCAGTTCAGTGTGTAGCATGGGTACGCTGTAGGGGTGATACAGCCAGTCATGCTAGCAGGTAACAGGACAGGCTTAGCCGAGACTGGTGTACCAGCATGTTACCAGTATTCACGTGTGCATCTGTAACAACTAACTGGTGCGGATGGTGGTGTCTAAGAGACCTTAGGAAAGAAGGTAATTCACTCCTGAAATACAAGCAGGTGATACTGAAATTAACAAATGAATGATAAATACATGAGCTTTAAGACTTTCAAAACATTAGCATGAGAAAAGGTAGCATTAATTCTCAAATACTTGTTCTGAAAGTGGCCTTTCCTATGAGGCTTTTTGTGTTGAGTTGTCTTCAGATCCATTAGTTTTGTGGGTGATATTAATTTCTCTATTTCTCCTTCTTCTACATCAACTTTTGTTTAGAAATAGCCAAGTACTAAAGTAAGTATTGGCTGTGTAAGTACTGAATGTTTGTGGCAGCTCTGTTAGGCCATGCCCCATGCTTGAATCTCAGAGGCAAAGTTTACTTTTCCTGCAAGTTATTACAGAGCATAGCATCTTTCCAAGTGATTTGAAGAGTGTCTCGATTGTAAATCTCTCTCTAATATGTGAATTTTGGAATAGCTGTTTTGAGAATTCCAGTGGAAATTCTCACCACTGTAACTCCTTGCTAGGTTTTTTTCCATTGTTTTCAGTCCACACTGGAGAGCCAGGAAGTTGTTACCAGCTTGAGTGTGTAGTCGGATCTGTTAACCACGGCAAGCCTCCAGACAAAACTGTTTTTGTCTGTTTCCTCTGCCCCTGCCAATAAAATCCATGCAGTTGGAGGAAACATGGACATAAAAACAGTGTTCTGAAATGCAATGCAGCTGTAAATACTGCTCTGCAGAGATGAAAAGAAAGTTCATGTATTTCTTCTGGGTAATTAGTATAATGATACATACAGGCTTTTAACAGTATAATAACTCCAATCATCCTTAGAGTTTATACCCAGTAGTGCGCACAGATGCATTTCAATTTTTAAAATCATAAATAACTAATACGCTGCCCACAGGGCTTCCCGTTAGTAGTCAAGTAGGCTTAGGTCCCACTTATACATAAGTATTGCACAGGGTACATTCCTTTTCATTTGATGTGGGAGTGAGCTCCTTAAGAAGACCTACAAAGGCTTCAGTGATGGGATGTGTGAAAACTCTCCCCAGCAGCTTAATATTTAACTAATGTGATATTTAAACCTTGCTGTTTATACCCTTGATGTTTTTAGTTAAGGCATTTGAAGCAGGTCAGTTCTGGCTTCTGTATGACAGATATAAACACCTTGCTCAAATGGTTTTTGAGAGAGGAATAACACTTGATTTCAGGAGTTACCCAAGTGTCACGGAATCGCACCAAAATGGCTACACTCACACAAATAGTGAACTCAAACAAGCTTTTAATCTGCAACTGAAATTAAGCAGACAAAACTTCATTCACCTAAACAACATTCCACTGACATTTAACAAATACAGGTTCGATATGCTGGTTGGGAATATTACCAGACACAGCTAAGTTAAGAATTCTTAAGTTTTTGGCCAAACGATCCAAAACGTGCACTCACTCACTCACCTAAAAAGGGAGGGCTCTCAATCTCGAGAAGTTACCTTAAGTGGCATCCCAACTCAAGAGGAGAGTCCTTGACTGCAGGCTCGCTGCTCCAAGGAGGACCGACTCAAATGAGTCCTCCGACGGGGCCCCATTTATACCCTGGTCGAATCTGATCTGTGGTCAATACGTGGTTGTGTCAGCCCCCATTGACTGAGGACCCCAACTTTCCCTCCTTTGACCCCCACTGTGTGGACCAGACATGAGCTGTGAGGGGGGAGGCAGTCCTGGCGCTGCCAGGGGCAGAAACTTTAGCACTGTCTTTGTCGGGTCTTTCTCAGGTCTTTAGTAGGGTGGGTGCATCTGCCACACCAAGGCAGAAACTTACCATAGCAGAAGGAAGAAGCAGCCACAGAGACAGGTGTATTTGAGATGTACTTTGTAATTACTCCGGTTTGAAGATTAAACTTTCTGTCTGAGATGGAAGGAGGTAGGGAACAGAGCGCTCTCCAGTGACTGTATTACTGCTTGTGACATATATTAATTCTCCAGCTTTTTGTTGCTGTTTTAGGACCTTTGCACAGAACTGCAGAAACATCGAACACTTGAATCTGAACGGATGCACAAAAATCACTGACAGGTAAGTCAAAGGGGTTTTTTGTTTGATGGGGAAATTTGGAAAAAGAAGTAGCTGAAGGTATTTTTAGTGTGTCTGCTGTTTTGCAGCACGTGTTACAGTCTTAGCAGATTCTGTTCCAAGCTGAAACATCTGGATCTGACATCTTGTGTAGCCATCACAAACAGCTCTTTGAAAGGCTTAAGGTAAGAAGATTCAGTGTTTTGTGTTAAAGAAAAGCATTTAAAGAGCTGTTGAACATTTATTAAAGTTTGAAAAAGTCAATGCTGAACTTTCATACTGTGTATCAGCACTGACTATATCCTAATCTAGCACTCCTTGAGTGTAGACTATTTTGCTTGTGTGTGGTCTTTTCTCATGACTTTTCTGTGGAGGCCTGGCACAGTCCACTGGCTTTCATTAATTTCTAACAGTGTGTTTAATTTGGGTTTCCCACTGTTATGACTATTTGAAGGCTGGATTTAACTTTATGTATTTTTTTAATTCTCCCAGTGAGGGTTGCAGAAATCTGGAACATTTGAATCTTTCCTGGTGTGATCAGATTACGAAGGATGGTATTGAAGCACTGGTGAAAGGGTGTAGTGGACTAAAAGCTCTATTTCTTAGAGGTTGCACACAGGTACATAACTGCTTGGGTGATCCTTTAGGAATAAAATTTTATTTGGGGTTTTGAAATCTCCGTGAATTTAAAAATACAGATTTTGTTATAGTCTTTTGTTCAATATTACAAGATGTGTACGTTCTTTGGGCTGCTTTGCTGTGCTTTTAATTTCTTGTTTCTTTTCCTATGTCTGATATGTCCTAAATACAGTTAGAAGATGAAGCATTGAAACACATTCAAAATCACTGTCATGAACTTGTAATCCTGAATTTGCAATCCTGTACCGTAAGTATTTGAAGCTTCAAAAGATACATTCACTATTAATCATAAACCATTTTGAATGCTAATGAATTGATCTGCTACACACTTAAATAATTCAAATAGTACATCTCTACAGTTTATAGAATTTTGTGTGTAATAGAGGTCTTAAATGAGCTGGCTGCTCTTACAGCTGAGTGTAGATTTGGAGTGTTGGGTTATTTTTTCCCATTCCTTACATCTCTTGGCTGTAGCGAGCTCTAGAGTAAGAATTAACTGCATTCATTCAAATCTCATGAACTGTGAATGCGCTAAACAGTGCAGTTTTACAGATGTAGTTCTTGTTCTCTCATCCATTAAGGTAAAACATGTTGGTCTGTTCATAATTTCAAGGCTTCTAATTGAGCAGAAGCCGTATTCTGGGCTACATAATTGACAATAAAATATAATGGCATTGTAACTGAAGATGGTTTGGAACCATCTAGGTAGCAGGGAAAGGGCATGGATTTTCAATAGTAAGAACACATTCATTTGTAATAACTGGGAATCATAAATGTACTTCTAATTCTAATTAAAGAGTACACACAAATGAGATTTGCTCTGTTTTCTGTTTGCTTTTATGTTGTTTCTGATGTGAGTCTTTAGGAATGGTAAAGATCTCCATTTAGATTTTAAATGTATCTCAGTCCCTCTTTGTTTGTAAATAAGCCTCAGAAAATATTGAAATAAATTAGAATTTCCATGTTTCTGTCATGCAAATTTGAACAATGTAGTTGTTAATTTTATTTTTTTTTTGCTTTTGGAAAGTTTTCTACAGTTTTATTGCTAGGAGGTATCATAAAATCTGCTTGTACTAAAACTTTCAAATCTGTATTACACATTATTCTGGAATGAATTTGGGATGGGACCTTTTTTATTATGATTGGATGAAGAGTTTTGGACCTAATAGGTTTCTTTAAAGCGTTAAAACGTTTTGGAGTGTTAGGGATTATTAAAAGTTACATTAAAAATTGTGGAAATTAAGAACAATGGGAATAGAAATCTTGAACTTCCATGAGCCAGATGCTTAGTGAAAGAGAGAGAATATTCAGACTTTTCAATCTAAATTTAGGTGCCCAACTTCAGTGGATCCTGAGTGGCACCTAAGGATAACGGAAATGAAAGGAAGTTCCTTCTTTTGGTCAGAACCACACTTTAATAAATAAAGTCATAATAAATAAGTCATGAGCCAATAAATAAATAAAGGACATAATTTCTTCCTCTTTCACTTTTCCTTTTGCTGTTCTGCTCCTCCAAAGTTCTTTCTCTTGTGCTTTACCTGAGACTGATGAGATACATCAAGGCCAGCCTTTTCTGATTATTTTTGTGGAAGGCTCTTGCAAGGTCTGATGATACTCAGTTATCTCCTGCTTGAAAGGAACGTTGGCATAGAAGTATACCAGGGCTTTTCCTTGGCCAGTATGTTTGTTGTCACGTAGCTATAAAGTACAACCAAAAAAATGTCATGAGTGAAAGTATTTTTCCTTTTGATTTTTTTTTGAGGTGCTAGCCTGTGTGTCCTACCTAGTTATGTGGGCTTTAAAGCTTTATTTCAGTGGAGATGTTGTACTTGCTGTGGCTTAGAAGCCTCCTTCCAGAAGCAGCCAGGCTCTTTATCAAAGAGATCAAAGGGTTAGCACTGATTTTCACCCAGCAGGTCTCCTTGTGCTTTATATGATCCACACTTCGATTCTAGTGGCTCTGTTTTATGGACCTTGTAAAATGCCAGGCCAGCTCCAGCAGCTATGGAATGAACTGGTATTAACTCTGGAAACTGCATTTCTGAAAGGGGCCATCTTTACAGTGTAGAAACTGGGGACTTGCAGGCATTTTTTTTTTAGCACTTTTCTTTCCTGAAAGGGATGTGGGCATTGACGTCACAATTTCAGAATGAAAAATGCTCATATCTAACTTGAGGGTTTTGTCTATCTCCACAAAATGTACATATCCTTACCTCCAAAGTAGTTCCTTTTCCCAATAATAGTGTCATGAATATCTCTCAAAGGGAACAAAACGGTTCCAGAAAGTATCTTCTTATCTGTAGATCATGCGCATCCTTCTGGATCCACAAAAAGAAGATGACTTCCAGTTTTCTGTCTAGAATAATTTTTATTTGACAGAACGATTTGCAAATGTGAACCACTGACATTAAAAAAGTGCTGGGTTGGGGGGGGAGGGGGCAAAAGGTGATCTCCCTTTGTGCTGAGCCACTGCTATTTCTTACCCTGTTTTTCGTCTATGAGAGGTAAAGTTTGTGGTGATAGCCTCAGAAATATGCTATAGTAGTGTTAGTGTACCTAGATGAGTGGCTTATAAAAGGAATGTGTATTTTCAGAACAAAATATAGTAGAGGTCTTTGTTACTGTTGGAAGAGTACTGTTAGGCCAGGAAATAAAATAACCTGTCTCACCTTGAAGGATTTAATTTTTCTGTAGAAAAGTTAAATTCTTCGAGTTAGGGATGGGAGGAGGAGAGAATATTTTTTTCCAGAATAGGAGACCTGTAAACAAAATAATATTTGCACACACACCCAATAGCCTACTTCCTGTTGCTCTTTTGTGTGCAGCTGCACCGGGGCTACTTCTTATAGTTCCTGTCTCAGGGAGAAAACACTTTTATTCATATTGCAAATTTAGAGTTACTTTTTTCAGACTATGTAGTACAAAACAATTTTGAGAAATTAAAAACCCTCTTTTGAGTTAAATCCTTCAGCTAAGGGCAACTGCGTAGGGTAGGGCAAACCTGGCTTTTACATTTGCCTTCTTTAAAGAATGGATTATATATAGTTGTTTACCTGTAACTCCTTCTTTGAAAAATTACCTGGAGGTAAAGGATTTCTACCCTTGAGTTCTGCTGCTCCAGTGCAAAACAGATAGTCAGCTCTTCTGCTGTTGAGCTTTGTGCTCTCTTTTATGCTGTTCCTGAACTTACCCAGTCACTGGAACAAAAGACCCAAACTCGGGAAACATATAAGCAGCAAACTATTTTGCACAGTGACAACTACAATAAAAATATATATATCTATATATAAATTATAAAGCAAAGTGAAAGAGGAAGACAACAAACTCCTCTTCCTCTATGCTTCAGACTGCCTTTGAGCTGTACTTGAGATATGTGGCAAAATACATAGATAAGTAGGAATTGTGTGTGTTGATTATCATTCTCTGTTATCAGTGAACATGGTTTCACAGTATTTTTCGGTTGAAAATCTGCAGGTGCCATAGTTATATACAGTATGACACGAACAGTTCAGTGATATAACTTGATTTTTGTTCTTAGCTGATTGCTTGATAACAAAGTAACTTCAACCTCCTTCTGTGTTGCAGCAAATTTCAGATGAAGGCATTGTAAAAATCTGTAGAGGATGCCACAGACTTCAGTCACTCTGTGTCTCAGGCTGTAGCAACCTTACAGACGCTTCTCTCACAGCGCTTGGTCTGAACTGTCCGAGGCTGAAGTGAGTATGTCAGGTGCATGTCATGATTGTGCCATGTTGTTGTTACTGGCCTGATCTAAGAAATTCACTTATAATCAGCTGATGTCCACAGGTCTGATTTAGCTTTTTGTTGCTTATGTTGCTTTTGTACCAGCTGAATGGAAACTTGAGGGCTGGTCCTCTGTAGCTAGCATTATGAATGTAGTCCACTGTATACTGGAAAAACAAAAAGTAATATATTTATGACAAATAAAACATGTTGAATCTGGCAGTTCAAATCTGTGCCTCTAGCTAAATAGTTAAGGTACTAATTACAAACCAGAAGAAAAGATGATATAAAGCCCATTATTTTTTTTAAAGATAAAAATATCTGTAGTTGTGTTGTGTCTTGCGATGTTTGTCCTCTGATGTGGTCTTACGCAGGTGTCTTGCAAAAAAAAAAAAAAAAAAAGCTAAATCATACCTGAGTATTGTATTCACAGATTTTATTATAAAAGTGTTTTTAGTATGCTCTGCAGTACATTCTGGCATTCTTAAACTCTGATACAGTGTTTGCTAATGTCTCTGCAAGCACTGAGGATTTAAATTTAGAGGTTATGTTTTGAGTAATAGGGGCTTGTCAGTTAAAAATAATATAAACCTTTCCATTGGTGCAATTTGCATTAACAAACATGGTGGTATTCTTAGAAGTGGGGACAGCTTCAGTTTTAATAGTAAAGCTCAGTCATGCAGCAGCTCTCTGGTTGTAGAGACATATACTTTTGTAAGGTCTAATTTTAATGTAAATTTAATCAAAACAAAGAGTTTTGGATGACGCTGAATTGCCATTTATGACAGGAACATGCCGGAGTCTCAACTTTTTATACTTCAATCACAGATAAATGGAGGAAAGTGTAGATCATAAAAATCAGGGAAACTACATTCAAATGAGTGTGCTGTCATGCAGTGTTCCTGTAGCTGATTGAGTGAAAAAGAGCTTTTTTTACTGTAAAAAAAACAAACCAAAACCATCCTTAAGACAGTTCTGGAGTGACGATCCCCTTCATGTAACCATTCATACTTATAAAAGCTTACGTGTGCCTGTGTTTGGGACTTAGGAGTCTTCTGACACACTGAATGATGTTTCTTAGAAAGCTATGCTGGTCTTTTCCCATGATTTCTCTCATTTTCTAAATTCCCAGCTCAGATGGGAAATGAGGTCTGAAGCGCTGTTAGTTGTGCAGATCTTTCCAAGGACTACTACAGCTGTAGCAGGAGTTGTTTTGCCTTTGATAGGTAAACTGTTAGCCCCTGTCTGTGCCACGAGGGGGAAGGCGTGTGCCGCTCTTCTCCTTCGATGAGGAGCAGGATAAGGAAAAAAGGACCCTTTGCATTGATTGCTGCCTGATGGAAGGCCAGGTGATGGTTACAGCTAGACTTTTGGGATCATGTATGGAAAGTACTTGATAAAAATTGTTGCAAACCAAAGAGGAAATATAATTCCACATTTGTTCATACTTTCTGATTATTTCAGTGTTGTGTATGAAAGAAAACGCTCCTGCCTCTGTTGGGCGTGCTGCTCCTGTTAGGAAGCTTCTGAGTATTTTCTGTGCTGTGCTACTCTCGCTTCACTTCAGGGTCTCATCCCTTTTAATGTCTGCTCATTTAAGTGTTTTGATACCTTCATTATTTTTCTGGTTTAGTACTTTTAAGTGTTTAAATACTAGTAGATGTTTTGGTGAAGCCTATTAAGAAAAGCACCCCTGAACCATGAGTGTCTTTGTCTAGGTGGGGCTGTGAAAATTAGGATCAGCTTTCCTTTAACTGCACCAATGTTCTCTCCCACCTGCTGCTAATTCAACAGCAGCAGGGAGGTGCTGTGTGCAGAGATGCTCCAGGTGTGCCCAAAAGACATCTGTAGGCCATGAAGGCAAGTGTGAGGTCCATCTTGGAGAACGTGGCTTTGTAAGAGTGGGGAATCTGCTCTCGGGTGTCATTTTGCCTCATCAGCTCCTGTGCTAGGTACTTTGTCATGAGTCATTGGATGGGAAATAAATGTCAGCTGTATCTGGAAAAGAAGAGCCATCTGTAATTAAGTGCAATCACTAAAACAAAGCAAAAAATAGAACTTTGCTCCATTTCATGCTGACCAGTGCCTCCCCACCTGTTTTTCATACTGGGACCTGATTGATGCAGCATGTGCAGATACAGCTCACCCTCCCCATTCTGCTCTTCTGGCTGACTACACACCCAATTTCAGGAAGGAAAGAGCTGCTACTCTTCTGCTTTTTTACCCCCTGTTCCCATGTTCTTCAGAGCTTTTCAAACAGATGTGCAGTAAGTAGCTTCCCCACTATTTTGCACACTGCAGATGTCATTTTCCTCTGCCCCTTTAAAGTCAGAAATGTGATGGGGTTGGGGATCCAGTGGTTTTAAGTGTAGATGGGTTTGAAAGCAAGTAAATGAGGCAAAGTGAAGGGGGTAGCAAATGCAACCTGAATCATGTTTTTTGTGGTGGTGTTGGGTTTTTTCCCTTCCTCTCTGGTATCCTAGGTAATTTTCAGAGTAGCGGAGAGTGTTTTATGACAGTCTGCTAACTGCCCTTGGTGGAAGGGCACATAGGGCATAAATGTGAGTCTGGAGAGAAAATCCAGTGGTGTTAGAGCTATCCGTTTGGAGAGCAGTACCTGTCCTGTACCTCTCTGTGGACTGCTCTCGAGTTTCCATCACACTTCTGAACCTCGTTGAAGAACATCACTCTGGAAGTGGTTATCAGGGCTGTAACCAGTGGGGCAGAACCTCTAAACTCAGCTGCGCTCTTGCCTGTGGCTTGGAGGAGACTGATCCAGCAAAGCCATAGTCAGAGCCTGTATCCTGTACTCTGGTGGGCTTGTTTTTTTCTTGTGCACACAGTGTGGCTTTTCCCTTTGCATTTTTGCCCATGGGGAGTGTGCTTTCTAATGACCTCCTAAACTAGTGGAAGGATCTAGAAGCCTCTAAGCATTACCCCAGCAAGAGGCTCTCTTGTCCATCTTGCCCTGCCTCCTCCCCACTGACCCTGGCATAGAAGCGGTGTTTGCTGTGGCCAGTGGGTAAGCTGCACTTAGTTGGTGCTTCTCATTGCACAGTGCTGTGGTTTCCCCTTATCCATCTTGAAACTTACTGCACTTGCAAAGCAAAAAGTGTTCATTAAACTAAAAAGAGGATAAGAAACAGTTATGAGACTAGATGCTATGTACTAGTGGTGCTGCTTGGGGCAGTTGACTTTTTTTTGTCACTACTGCTTCCCAATACCTCTCCAAAGAGTGTGAGGTTTATCTTTGCAAAACACTGTGTTATTTTCTTTAAGGCTGTGTTGGTGTAGTTTACTGTCTTTGTTGCGGGCTTGGAGAACTTGAGCTCCTTGCTTTCTGGTAACTTGCTTCACTGGGCTTCATGCAGAGGCTCTGAGGGAATTTCTCAGAGTAGTTTCTCAGTTTTGTGGCTTCCCAACATCCTGTGCTTAGATAACAGGTTTTCAGTGCAGCCTTCATCTGCATTTTCCTTAACTCAGGCTCTGTTCTCCCCCGTTTTTCCTCAGATGGCACATAAGAAAACTTGAGCATTATGCTGACTTACTGAAATGAGGTCAAAATGCGTATAATTAAGTGTAGTTTTTTTTCCACTAAGTGTTGAGAAGATTTGAAGATTGAACTTAATCTGTTCTGTGACTATTGGAATCTTCTAATAAGCTGGATCAAAGGTCTGCCTAGTGCTCTTTAATTGCAAATCACTGTGAAAAATAGGCATATATATATATATGTGTGTATATATATACACACACACGCACATTTTATATATATAGATATATATACACACACACTCACACGTTTGCTAATCAGAGCTTTAAGTTGCAGAAGACGAATTTGTATCTCAAATGCATTTGCTTTTATTTATGTTAATGTTTTCTTATTTAAAACCTTTTCAGGATTTTGGAAGCTGCAAGATGTTCCCATCTCACAGATGCTGGTTTTACCCTTCTAGCACGGGTAAGGTTCATTTCAGAGGTTAGAGCTCCCCTTGTTTCCACTGCTGCTGGGCAGCTGTGCATTGGTGTAGTCCTGCTGGGGAAAAATAAAAATAAAGTGAGAACTCAGAGGAGGAGAGGACTAAAAAGATTTTATTTCTGGGTTATACTTAGAGCTACAGCTTGATCTATTTTGCCATCTACCATGGAATTTTTTCCCTTTTTTCCCCTCTTTTTTTTTTTAGTATGATTTAATTGGAATTATTATGCTTAACATAAATCTAAACTTGTAGTATGTATTCTAGCCAGTTTTCCCCTATAAAGCTGACACATGTCCTTGTGATATTTATACCAAAAAATATCACCATGTAATAGATTATTCTGAATGTACATTGAAGTGACAAAAATACTTACATTATACATTTTAAACTATAAGCACTTATGCCCCGATTCATGCTTTAAATATGTAAAGTAAGCATATGAATTGTGTAAAATGCTTCAAGTTAAAATGTGTACGCTTGCTGGTTCAGGAAATCTGAACACAAAAATAATACTCTGTAAACAGGATTCATTTACACCTCTGATGTAAAAGTCACAACTTTACATCATTTTGATGAATTTAGTCACAATCAGCCATTGAAAGCACTTCTCAAAGCTCCCTAGGGGTCTCACAGAATATTGGGAAACTTGCTTCTATTAATGTGAAGTGCAGTTTTTTCCCAGCCTTGAAGTGGACCCTATTTTAACATTTTCAGTATTCAGTAGCAAAGCAAATTGTTTTTAAGGCTTCTTTCTAAAGCGTGATGGTGAAGAGATGTTTCACAGGCTTATGTGTGTTTCAGATGAGTTCAAATTTCCCCTTGGAGGCTGTGCTTTCCCATATTACTAGTTCTGTGCATGATTTTATGTCTATGTGGTGGTTTATTTTGTCTTTTGTTTATCTGTATGGTTTTTGTTTCTTTTAGAATTGCCACGAGCTGGAGAAGATGGACTTGGAAGAATGCGTTTTGGTGAGATTTAATATGAAAGGGAATCTTGCATGTCCAGTGTAAGGATGCAGTGCCAATAAGTGCCAACGTTAGCACTTCCAGTTAAATGGGCTATGTTTTTTGTTAATAGTGCTGTGTTTATGGTAGTAAATAAAAATAACTATTGGGAAATATTTGAAGAGCAGCAGATGCTTGGGTGTTTTCCAAAAATACCAGAACCTTCATCTGATGGAGAAAGAGAGCCCCTACTTGAGGGTTGCCCTCCTACTGCCTGTTGCTTATGGTTGTTCGGTTTCTTTTATTTCTAGATAACTGACAGCACATTGATACAACTCTCTATACACTGTCCTAAGCTACAAGCATTGGTGAGTTTAACTCTTTTTGTGTGAACTTTGATACATACCTTCAAAATCACACGCATACACAACTGCTTCAGTACAAAAACAGGCTGTTTACTCGATCTAGAACAAGTTCATGATGTTGTATGATGCTATATGCAGAATATATGCCAGTTTCGTGAGTATTCTAAAAGCAGCAGGCTACTCCTGAAATATTTACATGCATTGTGTGATTAAAAAATATTACCAAATCAGTAATAACCAGAAAACTTACATTTTATGGTTAATATCCTTCATATTTGATTGCTTAGTTAAAATAATACTTTCCATAGGCAACTCAGACCTTTATTGATACTCTCTACGTGTTCACTAATGATTTTCTTAGGGAGGATGACATATTCAGTATTTGCCTTAAAAAGCAAAACCACCCAGTGAAGATAAATGTAATCACTCTGGAATCAGTTTTGCATTCGACCAGTTTTTCCCAAGGACAACATTTACATAAAAAATTCTGAAGGGTTTTTCGACTTAGACTTTTAAATGTAATTGGAGAGGATTGAGAGGTGTCCCTGCCCGTGGCAGGGGGGGTTGGACCAGATGATCTTAAAGGTCCCTTCCAACCCAAACCCAATCATATGATTCTGTGATTGAGATGTCTTCAGTGGGGTACCCTGCTTACTGTATTTCAAAGAACTGGGTTTTAGGGAGTGGTTGCTTAGATCTTTCAGAACATCAGGAACCATTTCAGGTGACATAAATTTGGCTGTTCTTCAGACAGGGTACTCCAAAATGAGTAGACTGTCCTATCACCAGGACCTCCTGTGTTTAGAGCCAGTTGTCCCATGAGTGTAGGTTTGTTATATACTGATTCAGATCTGCGTGAGAGAACAAGTATCTTTATAATCTGTTCTTAGATGGGCTTAAAGGAAGGTTTCCTGCTTCATTAATGACATTATGTTATGATTAGTTGGCGTTACTCAGTGTTACTAAAGTAGCAACGTGTGGAGAGATGGCTTTTAAAAAGGATGTTGTTCACTATTTTATTTTTGCTTATTAATTGACCACTCTCATTTCTGCACCATAATTCTTAATGTTAAGCCAAACAAGTTGTCAGGAGATGGGGAGCCACTTGGACGAGTCACTTTCTGTTCTGCAACAGATGCGTTTTTGTGTTGTAATTCTAGTTTTAACCAGTACTTGCAAGAGATTTTTTGTACCAGTTCTGCTAGTGCTTCACCAGAAACACCATAAAATGTCGTAATTTCCAAGTATTTTTTGGAACCTGCTCCTGTTTGCTGGCCTTTGTGTGTCAGCCCACAGACAGGGAAGTGTGGCGTTGGTAAAAAAAAGTATGCTTTTTCTAAGGGAACCAGGAAAATGGATGTTTTGGTGTATATCTGGTGTGTAGGAAGGATACCTGCTCAAAGACTGAGTGAACAGCAGTGGCTGAGAATTACAGGGAAAGGAAGAACTGAGTAGCAGGTGCCAAATACCTGACCCTTCATACTTCAGATGTGAAATCCTGTTCTGCTGATGGTTCTGTAAACTTGTGGGGCTGTGCTTTAGCATGTGTTTCGCTATCTTTGCAGTTTAAACAGATATTTTGAAGTTGCAGAGATCAACTCTGAATTTGTTTCTTGGGGTTTGGAGACTCAGCAGACGGTGGAAATGAGCAGAGCACTCTTAGGTCAATTATAACCAACTGTTACCTCTTCATCAGTATCAGAGTCCTCAAATGCTTTTTTGTCTTTCTGGACTTAAGTAATTTCTGGTGAAAATGTGTAACATTTCTATATTCATTTATTAAAGAACCTGAAATACTCATACTATTTCTGGAGATGAGAATACAGTTGAATTCTTGATGTTGCTCACGCTGTTTCTCACTGTCACAACGTATCATGCCATATTTGATGTACACACAGCATTTAAGATGCAGTGACAATAAAAATAACGTTACCGTATCTTCTTGCTCCCAAGATTTCAAATAATTGTCGTCATCAGTTCCATGTTATTAGCACTTTCTAACAGGCTTATGAAATCAGAAAAAAACCCATTTAATACAGAGTATGTCTCATTTGGCATATTTGTTTTACAAAATTCTGCGAACTGAGCTGTACATCCTGTATTGTCCTTTCAGTACCAAACACAGTGTCTCAGGAAAGCTGAATTTTTATAAGCTGCTTACTTCCTGGGACGGAAAACTCCTAATTAGCCAGCAGGCTGCTTCATAAAACCTCCTGTCCTTCCTCCGAACAGCCCTGCTAGAAACAGTCTTTAACCCTGCAGCTGCTGATTGTTTCCAGGCTGTGAGCCCAACCAAATGCTCAAAGCAGGTGTAGGAGAGAATGTAAGTATTTCTGAGAGTTGATAGACCTGCAAAATGTACACATAAGGTAAAACACGCTTGATAGGGGTGAGCACTTCATTTCTGGTGCCATTTGGAGACAGCAGGCAGTAGCTGTGGTGTGGCACGGAGCTGCTGGCTGCTGCTTGTGCTTGGTGAGTGGGGAAAATCGATGTCTCATCATCAGACTGGAGAGGAGTTGCAGCTGTGTCTCTCGGTCTCTTCTCTGGTTACCTGTTCATCCTGTTGAGCAAAGGAGAAAAGAGAAGTTGAGGGGCAGGTTGCTCTAAAGGGCAGGACAGACCCCGTGTGTCTGGTAGCAGGTGAGAAATGCGCGTGACTGCAGCCAAGGCTACAAGGGTAAGCCACGGCTGCTGGTACTTGGGCTTCCTTGTCAGGCTGAAATAAAAGGAGATTGATGTGATACACTGGGTGAAGGGAAGGTTTACATGTTTGATTCAGAGGATTGGCAGGAGGTATTTTTCAGCAGTAGTTAGCTTGCGCCAAGTTAAAAAGCATTTTTAGGTTTTTGAAGTGTTTCTTCATTGGTTGCTGTCTGAAAAAAATCCTGTGGCAAGGAAATGCCACTTCAAAACCAGTCGCCGTTAGACTTGGGTACCAGTACAAGCAGGACACTGGGCTGAGCAGTAAGCAAAGAGCAAGCTCAGAGCACAGGGCCAGAGGAGTCCATAGATCCAGCACGTTCTAGTGCAGAAGACTCAAGCATTTCTCTCGCTGATGAGAGTTGTTCTTAAGCCTCTGAGCAAAGTCTCTTTCCTGTTGTTGGCATCATCACTGCTTCTTCAAAAGCCATGAATTCCCTGAAGGAACTGGGAAACTCCTTCGTGTGGTGCTGCTTCCTGAAATGCTGCAACTTCTTCCATGCTCTTGAAATTCAAGGGAGCAAAAAGGTATGCTGAAGAGGAGCAGACTTTCTTGGTTTATTATGCTGACTGTTGAAGAAAAGACCTGCTCCTGCAGCCGTACATGATGTTTATTACTCCTCGCATGTCCAGGCTGAGGTGCTGAGTGGTTTAGCACCTCAAAGTGCTCATGGTTTTCCCAAAATCAGGAGGTTGAACCTCTTCACTTCTGATGTTTAGAAGACAGAGTAACATAGGACTGAATGCTGTCATTAACTGTTTGCCTCTGTTTCAGAGCTTATCTCACTGTGAATTGATCACTGATGATGGGATCCTCCATCTGAGCAACAGTACCTGTGGTCACGAGAGGCTGCAGGTCCTGGAGCTTGATAACTGTCTCCTCATCACTGACGTGACCCTGGAGCACCTGGAGAACTGCCACAACCTGGAGAGAATCGAGCTGTACGACTGCCAGCAAGTCACGCGAGCTGGGATCAAGCGCATCAGAGTACGTGTTTGCTGCCAACTCCTGATGGGGATGCCCAGGCTGTTGGCACTGCTTGAGCTTGTATGAATCCTGCAGGTGTCCCAGGCGGGGGGGGGGGTGGAAAGACAGAGTCTGAGTGTCATTTTGTTAGGTCCCCAGCTCTAAAGGTAGCTTTTCTGCATGAGCAGTAGTAATTGTCTAATTCTGTTTATAACTCATAGCACTTTTGCTGTGGGAATGATGAGTGCTTATCTTCTGCTTTCTGTATTTTTTTTAAATACAGGCTTCTACGTTTTTAGGATTGTGCAGTGGCATTCTTTACCTCTCCTAAAAATAGACATTAATATACAGAGCAAAGCATCTGCATGGAGATTTCGGTCAATGGGTTGTAGCGCTGTTAGGCCCTGGAGTTCAGCCACAAACTCTCTTCCTCTGTGCACCTCCACTTACCTTGCGACGCAGCATTTCAAGCTTACTGTTAGATTTGTCTGCAGCTTCCTACCCCAAATTCATGTCCAAATGCTTTTGCAATTGGAAAGCTCATCCCTGATAGTGATTGCTGAGGGCAGATGCAGATGACTCCGTGCTGCTTTGTAGGATGAGAGAAGTAGGGAATATGAAAGGCAGGGCACAGACAAGTCTTAGATCAGGAGCAGGGGGTCTGTCTCTCCCTGCAGCATAACACTTTTTATTGGGAAATAAGTGGGAACCCCAAGCAGATGAGTGTGCCCAGACATTAGCATGCTTTGGCTGGACGTGACATGAGAATTATGCATCAGGAAGACAGCTTGGGTAGTTCCAAGCACATAGATGCTTTCTTTTCAGCTATCAACCTTAAAGAGAGCTGCCTTGCTGCAGTAATTGAGGTGTAGTGCTGCTTTTTACTACTTCTGCTTGTTTCTCTCCCATTATAATGTGGACTCTTCATCCACAGGCTCATCTACCTCACGTGAAAGTTCATGCTTACTTTGCTCCAGTAACTCCCCCTCCATCGGTAGGAGGGGGCGGACAGCGGCTCTGCAGATGCTGCATTATTCTTTGACAGTAAGTGCAACCATACCGAAAATCGTGGTGGTCTTGTTGAAAAAAAGAATGGGACTGCAAGTCGGTGGAAGGAGTCGGTTTCCTGACAGTCCTAGTGGTGTTTGGTCATCCAGTTTTGTGACGAGAAAAGCATTCTCTTTTTTTTCCAGGTTAAAAAATTCTTAATGTACTGTGCAGCTGTGGATTAAGTTGGTGATGCTTTGGTTTGTATTAGTAACTCCTTCCTTCTGTTGGCATGAGAACTGCAGTACCGTGTGAAACGTGGGGGCATTTCAGCGTAGCAGCTTCTTGGTGCGAGTTCACTAAACTTGGGAGTTAATCTGTATTTGTAAGCACTGAGTGTGTGAAGCTCTAACCTAAGGTGGGGCTCAAGTCTGTCACACCAAGGAACTGAACCTGCTGTTCTGTAATATACACGACAGATCAAAGATCAGGTTTAAGGACAAATCAGCTTTAGCAGACATTGACCAAAAAAAAAATGCAAGGTACTCATGAGCTCTTGCAGCAAAACAGCTTCTTTTTCATGATTCAGCGTCCTATTTAATTACATTACAGGACATAATAGGTAATGTCAAAAGGTAAGCCTGTACCTCAAGATAACTATAGAAATAGAAATACTTCTTAAGTTTTTGAGCTTGGTTCAGTTGAACTCTGTGTTCGTCTAAAGCTTGCCCATCACTGAAGCACGTTTTACGTGTGATGCCATCAGCCTTTACAAGGGGTAAGGAATCCACTGCAGTCGAGCTCATGTGCTCTGCTGGCATTGGCTGCCACTCAGACGTGGTGCTTCCTGTAACGCTGCTCCTGGGCATCCTCAGCAACCTCCTCGGTTTGCAAGGAGGGGCTGCAGCAGGTCTGAGAGGAGGGGTGTGTTACTCTGCTTTTCTACAGCTGAGGAATGGAAAGCAGGGTCAGTTACAGGAGCTGGGATGGAGGGAGCTGTTTGTCTCACCTGTTTTTAGGGACATAGCAAGCAGCGAGGCAAATAAAGCTGGAGACAGGAGTTGAACCAAACCAAACCTGTGGTTTTCAAATGTAGAAAGCCAAACTCTTCACATTTGGTTTACTGAAGAAGCTGTCAACTTCTGAATGATAGTAATAATAAAATCTATGTATTAACTTTTCAGGCCATGCTTTCATCCTTAGTTTTTCAGTGCTAGAGGGTTAGATGAATAAACTTTTTTATATTAAGCAACTTAATTATCTGAGATAACCTAAACTGTTCAGAAAGCTTTTTTGTGTAAGATTGACTATGTGTGTGTAAGAGTTCAGGGCCTGTGCATTTACTGAAAATTAACAGATACTGGCTTAAAACACAGTTGGAGAAGCTACTACTGGATGGTACTTCGATTTGCCCCCCAGATTTTAAGCTACTTTTTAAAAGGAGTGTGAACATTGAGACTTGTATGGACAACAGCAGCTTCACACATGAACAGATGACGGGGATGGTAAATTAAGATCTCAGTACCTGGGTGTCTGTACAACTACACAAGCAGCTACTCGGGGCTTGCTTCGCACAGCAAGGGAGGAGCGTTTTTACAGCCCTACCGACAGGTCCAGTCAGGTGCTGCTGCACTGCAGAGTTTTAAGCAGATTTTCTTCTCACCTGTACCAGGAAAGTCATTGGTCCCAGTCTGTCCAGATGTGCTGCCTTTTGTTGGCTCATTTTTTTTTCTAAGAACATAATGAACCTTGTGACTCTATTGCATTAAAGATGTACAAAAACAAATGGAACCTACTCTGATATAGGACACATCAATAAACAATCAGCTGATGTCACACTGGAATTTGTTTCCCTTATTTAAAATGTAACTGACTTTTTCACTAGAAGATCTACCTGCATGTGTTGGGTACAAGGTAAACCCCAGAGCTCATTTGCTTCCCTTATTTACCCTTACTGCTCAGGTAGGGCTCGTGGCTACTTCTGTTGTTAAGACTTAGATTATGTGTGTGTCATGGGAAAAAAAGTAAACAAAAAGAAAGCACATTTACAAAATTATTGAAAAACATTTATTATACTTAAATTGAAATGTGTACATCTTATTAAAAAACAAAAGCAATTTGCTGGTGCCATAATTTAATTCCAATTTCAAGTGAGCTGGACAAACTACTGTACAACTTTCAATATTCTTTAAAATTAGATATTTGGATACTTTCCAATCAAGGATTTTTCCACTTTTATAAAACATTTGGATTTGAATATGGTGTGAGCTGAAAAGACACGAGTGTCAGTTCAAGAAAATACTAGGACCAAACAATACCCAAAGATGAACAACTTATAGGCAGAAATGCTTAAAAGTACTTAAAATGTCACTTTCAGTGCAGAAAAAGTAAAAACAGGAAAGAAACTCTAGCTTTGATGAATTTAAATTTTCAAAATGCTACAGCTTTAAGAAGCTTTTCTGCTAAACACTTGAGCCAGTTATGAAAGAGGGCATGAAAACAAGTCTAAGTTGCTTTTTTTACCTGCTGTAGTAGTTGCTTACATCCAACACTGCAGCAAAAAAAGCAACTTCCCAAGCTGTTAAGCCAGAGATGAAACTTCCCAAAGGCACAACACCACAGCTGTGCAAAAGCTGTCATTTAATGCCTTTTGAAAGAGCCCCTCCGAGTACCCAACCAGTTGAAACTTACTGTTAACATAGGAAATGCTGTGCCGTGTCTTGACAAGAAATACCCAAAATAGTGAAAGAGCACATTGCCAGTTTCAAAGAAAAGTCAGTATTTGGTCATGTGGAAGAGGCACTGTAACAGCTGTACAGTATGGAGCAGAGGGCAAAGAAAAGTCAACAGAAAAGGTAAGATACTTGTCCATAACAGCAACTACAGCAAGGCATTTACCTGCTGGGGAGAGACTACAATGGTGTATTACATTTAGTGTTTCTTAAGCCATTTATTTGATGTTGCTGAAAGCTGTCGCAGCCCCGTGGTGCCTGTAGGTCATCTTCCCTCAGCAGCATAATCCCTCTAGGTCATAACAATCCACCTCTCACTGCTAGTATTTTTAAACCCACAATTTTACAAGCGAAGAGTTAAACTGCAGCAGTGCTCCGCAGAGAACCTAGGAAACTAAACATAAAGGATGCATAGGCAATTCTTCTCCATTAAATTTGTTAAAGCAAAACACAATTACTTGGTACCCCATAGGATTTATATTAATCCCTCCAATAAGGTACTATTGATAATGCAGTTTGCTGCATGCATATATTGCATCTGTCTAGGGCTTCTTCAAAGCCCTGTTCTGGCATTTACACTTCTTACATACACTCTTATACACAATTTACACGGGAAGCTGTTTTGACAGCTTTACTCTCAAAGACCCAACGACCTGATCACTATCAGCAAAACAACTCATCTCCACACAGATCAGCATGTGCTGTGCTAACATCAAAAAATAAAACCAGCGTAAGGTACAAGCAAGTAATAGACAAACTGGCACAGAAAGGTAAATGCCCCAAAGTGAGTTTACATTCATCTCCAACTGGATACAGATCGCAGAAAAGCAACAGCGCTTCGCTTCTAGAAACTGTATCTACTGGCCATAATTTGCCTTGATTCAGTAAAGGGCAAGCACCTTTGCTTACATTGTCTTCCATGCCTGTACGTAAGCTGTCATGGCATTAGACCTCTCATGAGGACACTTGGCTATGGCAGTGATAAGAAAGTTCACCTATCAAACAGCTCATTAGAAAGGTCATTTTGTGTTTTCAATATGAAACATCTTATACGGTGAAGTTAGATCCTAAGGTTTTGGATGATCTTCGTAATCTTTAGGCAGGACTTCATTCTGTGTTGGAGTATCAGTCTAGCAAGTGTGTGACATCACTTCAAAATTATATGGAAGCCTTCACCATTTTCAGCTGAAGAAGAAATAAAATGTCAGTCTTTCATAAACAGAACCATAAATTTACTACCCACCCCACCAAAACATCACAGCATGGACTTGGTTTGTTACTGTGTAGAAGTGGTTCATTGCTACTATGAAATACTAAAACATATGGAAGAGCAGGAGCTTGCTCTTCAGACTAAACACCTGAAGAATAACTTCTTAAAATCTCTTTTCTTTAAAAATCTCTACTCCTTGCAAGTTAGAATGCTGATAAAGTGCAGCTGACTTTAAAAATACAGCTCACCTACAGCAAAAACACAGCTTTTCACTTCCTACTTGTGCTGAACAAAAACAAGTCATGATCAACAGTTTGCACCTTGATCTTCAAAGTTGAGACAGTTCATGAAGGTAAAATTTGCACAGAGTCAAACCTGTCCACTGATTACAGCAATTTCCTGCCACCAGAAACAACCTGGGCTCCATAGAAAGTGTGAGATTCATTGGAAACACCCAGCGCTGAAGAGGGAGACCTGCAGCCACGTACTGAGGAAAGCTGAACAACAATGTTCAGAAACAACAATTATGTTTATGTCAAAAAAAGACACCATACCTTTTATTGTGGTGAATAAGAAACAACTCTCATCTTGAAAGTTTTGAACCATCTGTAAAAAAAAAAAAAAAGGTTTGAAACTCTCCTGAGTACAACCAATGCAAAAAATAAAGGTCAGATATTAAATACAGCCTTTCTAAAGCAATTGCATATTTCTGCTTTTATTCAGCAAGTGACAAGCATATACCAGGTTAAATTAAAATACATTACTGTGAAAATACTGCTTGTTAATCCTCTGACCACCAGTTGGGAACCTATTACTGTTGGCTGTGTTTTTGGAACTCTAAATATGAGCAGCAGATGCTTCAGTAAGATGAGTTCAACAGTATTTAAATGCTCCCTGCCTTTGGGCACGTTCAAAATAAATACTAAGTAATCCCTGCAGCATTTCAGAACTATACAGACCTGCTGCATTCATAATTTGAATTTATTCAGGTAGAGGAAGAGTGACATTTAAAGGATCCTTCTGCTCATTTTGATGTAAAGGAAAATCTAAATGTCAGAGAACACATTAATAAAGAAGCAAGCATAAGAAAACCCATTCTATTTAATTCATAAATAAAATTTGTCAAGAAAATAAAAAAGTTTCCATTACCTGATCACTAACAAGAATGTGGATACCTGTGGGACCCTGTCTGTAAACCTGGTTGATCTGATGCAAAGGAATATTAAATGCCAAAGCGAGCTTGCGTGTGACTTCTGAGGCTGCCATTTCTTCCAAGTAGATTGCATGATAAACTACAACAAAAACAACAACAACAGATTAAATAAGCACAGTACTAATTGGTAACAAGTAACTGCATGAAAAAAATCCGATTATTTTTTTATACCTCAGCTTTAAAATACAGTAAGAGTTAGAAACCTTTACTTTTCTCTCCCTCTGTTCCCACCAAGAACCACGACCTGCCAGGACTTTCCTTTCCAGGTAAAGCCACGAGTGCTTCTCTCGGCCAATGGGGAGGCTTCTGTTTGCTCTGACACTGAAAGCAACTTCCACATTTTTTCCTGTATCCGGCACAAAAGGGCACAGCCACGTCCAACCTGAATGGATCTCTACAGAGCCACCTGAAGATGACTTCTGAAGTAGTTTTGGACCATCCCAAAAGCAGCACCTAATACGTATGACATGGGGATGCAGATTTTTTTTTTGGTAAAGAAAGCCTTTTTCAACTGTCTGAATAAATTTCCAATGTATCATCTCAAGCTGAAGATTGGTGGGGGGCAAATACAACACAGCAAACTCAGTTTGATGCTGTATTTACAGCTCTACAGCTTTAACAGTGCTGGAAGCCCATGGCAGCTCGACATTTGCACATTCTTCTGTCCCAAACCAAAGACAGAAGATATCCAGAGGGAAAATACATATTTGACAGAGCCAGAATCCTATTTACAGATCCTCCTCCACCTCCATGGAAAATACACAACTATTATTAGAGCAGCAGCCGAGGCAGATTTCAGTTGGTTGGGGAGGGAGGTCTCTTCACTCAAAGCCACAAGCATGAAAAGAATAATTTCAAATAGCTCTGCTCCCTTAATTGGAAGATTGACATGAATTTACAATTAAATACTGAGCTCCCACCTGGGTTGAAACCACAGCTCAGGAAAACAATACTAAAATCCTGAGCCCGTACATTGCTCGGCTGTTTTGCCCTGTGCAAGCTCTACCAGTTTTAGTTCAGTTACACAGAAAATGACAGCAAAACTTAACTGAAAAATGGGAAAGAATCCAAGCGTTTTATCTGCGTGTAGCTTTTACACGCACCTACATTTATCTGGCTCATACCTTGGCTGTAACAACACACCTACCACAGCTAATTCGAGAGCCACTTAATTAATTTAATTAATTACCATATAACTACAGTTAGTCTTATCAATGGACTGGAAAAAATCAATGATTTACTCTTTAGGTTTTAAGGTTCTGTTCATCCTGTGCAGTGTTAAAACAGCAATGCCTGTTCTGAACACAGCTTCCTACGGTTTCTCTGTACACCAGAAACAGAAATTCAGCTTCCTCGCTATTCTTTTTCTCCTTCTCACTTATCTTGTTTTGATAAGATACAGAAATGTTATGCTAAGAGACCCCTGTGCACCGTACCGTATATTGCACCATTGCTGCTGTCACCATTGCCTGCGTCTTGTCTTTCCAGTTGCATGCTCCTTAATGGCTCTTGACAGACATAGATTGTTAAACGGGGCCTAACAGACCTGCAATTCAAACAAACCGAGTATCAGAAAAGGTTACTTGCCCTGGAAATAGGGAAATGGTGATGCCCCAAATGTGGATATGTGTAACTGAAATGCTTTTTTTCACTGACCATGTACACAGCAGGCTCCTTTAAACGTGCTGCTCCCCAGTTCCCCAGACACCTCTCACAGGCATCAAGGCCCATCCTGCCTATGACTTCCCAGTCTCCCAGTTCTAAGGACGGGGGATTTCAGTAAATGACAGAGCAAAACCCGCTCAACCTCACACTCAAGACATTACCTGGATTTCAGTGCATTGTATAGCCGAATTCCATCGGCTGGACCACAGATTTGTACCAGATCTTCTCTTGTCAGCTTTAATAAATCAGCACCTGGAGAAACACATGGGGATTTTAGGAAGATTATTTTAGAACATCTATACTTCTTTAAACAAATTGTATGTTCATTTAAACCAAGAATAACAGACTCCACCACTATAAAAATGGAATCCTGCAAACACAAACGAGAAACTAAAATTTACAATAAATTTTAGGGTAGGGTGGTTTAAACACATGCAAAATAAAGAGCAAAGAATATTTGATGGTTTCTCTGAATCATCCCAGGCAAGTTACTGCAATGCACTCAATTACACAAGACACTGCTAAGGGCTGCTGCAACTAAATCAGTGTGGTCAAATCGGCACATCAGCAGCCTATGGAGTGAGTCCAGGTTGTGGGACACCTCCATCCAAAAACAGTTTGGTTTTTATTAAATGATCCTGTGAATAAGCAATCTGTGAAAACAACTGCTTCCCAGAACAGTTACTTCAGAAAATGAAGCTTCAATATGAGACATTAAGCAGAGCTGAACAGAAAATGGAAGCAAGCAAACTTCTTAGAAGCAGCATGGGTGTCAACAAAGAAAACGACAGTCTGAAACAGCAGTCACTGGAATGAATCAATGGGAGGAAAGGAGAAAAACCAGGCAGTCTTTATTCATGAAAGTACTCCACAGAAAATCTAGGAATGCATAGATAAAAGCCAACAAAGTAATTTGTCTCAAGTATTTTGCCACGAGCAGAGTAAATCATAAATTTCCAACATTGCAAGGGTTGACTATAAGATACTGTACTTTCCCATTAGGTCCATGGTACGTAAAATAAAATCATCATCTCTCTGATTAACTAAGGAGCCTTAGTGCATCAGTCTGGATGATAGTGCCTCTATTGCCATTTCTTGCTTCTTGTGTGTATA